GACATCTCTCACTTCGGTTTTGAGGACTTTCTTTGGGTGAGGGGTTGTTAATGGTAATAGGATAGGTGTCCAATAGGTTTTTGTTCCATTCTTTGTGAAGCTCTGTTTTTTATTCTTTAAGAAAGTTACAGCATAAACACAAGTCAGAAAGGGCTTGGTTATAAAATGATTAAAACTTTGTGCTTTGCATGTGCTTTTCAGGGAATGTGCACTTGTTGGTCCCATGGTAGATTGTCCCTCACAGTAGCTGTGACTTATAAGCACATAACTAAATGTAACTGGTGATGGTGAATATATTATTTTTTAAAGTGGTTGTCCTTAATATATAGATCAGTACCTTTTGTTTTGTTTACAATCACAAATAGATAAGCTTCTCCTTTCCCTGAGATACATCCCTCCTTTCCACCTTACTCCCAATTAGGAATTATTTGACAGTGACAAGGCAGTGAATGTAAGGATCAGCACGGTAGACCTCAAGTTTGATCTCAACATTTCAAAGGCAGAGGCAGACACAGAGGCAGGTAAACCTCTTTGAAACCAGCCTGGTCGAGTTTCTGGACAGCCAGAGCTACAGAGTTCCTGGACAGCCAGAGCTACAGATTGTCTCAACAGAAACAAGCAAACTAAAATGTTGAATGTAGCTGAGTCTGGTGGTTTACACCTATAATCAGAAGGATCAGGCAAGAAGATTTCCAGGAGATTCAGGACAGCTTAGGCTATAGCATGACCTTGGCTTTAGAAGAGCTAAGCCTCAAATAAAAAAGATGTTGAGTGAAAATCTTAAAAAGACATTTATTCCCACTCTGGACCTAAGTGATATATCACCCTTCCAGGCTCAGGGAATATCTTGCAGGAGAGAGGACTGAAAGCATATGAGAATTAGAGAAAGAAGGGGAGCTTGTCTAATGTTGCCTTCCAGGCATGGCGTGGCTGCTGTACTCTTGAATTCATAACATTTGTGAAACACAGATTTTGCCTTACCTCAATGGTGTTAGGATACCTTGAAACTGGTGGTTGCTGGGAGTTGGACCATGGTCCTCTAAAGCATCTAGTGCTCTACTTGTTACTTGGAAATGCCTTCACTCTTTGGGTGTTAGTAGGTGCTGTGTAAGCCATTTAGCAAAGATAATCCTTCGTTCTTGTCTTTTTACTTTAAAATTTTTTTCCCTGTTGGAAGTCTTAAAAAAAATCTGTGTGTTCTTGTCAGTCTGTCCATATGTGTATGTGTGCACATGAGTGCAGGTACTGACAGACACCAGAAGCATTGGATCCCTTGGAGCTTACACAAGTAGACACTTAGAGTGAGGAATCAAACTCATTCATGTCTTTTGGAAAAGCAGTTTATGCTCTTAACCACTGAGCCAGCTTTCAGCTTAATTCTTTAAAGTTAGCATACAATATGTCATTACTTTTAATTATCTTTCTGATTGTAGGCTTTGATCACTCAAACATGAATGTGATGGTACAGATACGGTTTAGACATGTCTAAATTTAAAAGTACTCAGTGGATAGATAAAAACACTTGCTGTGTTTGAGTTCGATTTCAGGAACCATCATGAAAGTGTGAGGAGAAAAATCTTCCCTTAGGAGGTTGTGTGTCCACCCCACCCCCCAGTAATGAATAAAAATGAAAAAAAAAAAAAAAGTAAAACCAAACTCAGAAACATCAGTATTTTATCAGTAGAGAATGCAGATCAGGAGTGAGAGCGGAAGTGGTAAAATAATCTGAATTATTCATGTTGTTAGGTGTGAGGTAGAAATGAATGCATACAGAATTGCCCAACAAAAGAAGACATTTGACAGTTGTTACACTCCTTTTTATGTATAGCAGAAAACCACACGTCCAGAAACAAACACAAGGAAGATCTTTTCATTCCTGTTTGAATGATTGAGATAGGGTCTTCTAATCCCTGGTTGACTTTGAACTCTTGGTCATCCTGCTTTCACCTCTCAAGTGTTGGTACTCACTTTAAGACAAAGTACTTTCTTTTTGGTTTTTAGAGACAGGGTTTCAGTAAAGCCTGGCTGTCCTGTAATTCATTCTGTAGACCAGACTGGCCTTGAACTTAGAGAGATCCCACCTGCCTCTGCCTTGAAGGCCTGCACCGCCACCACCCAGCAACACAAGCATTTTTAAAAGGAGGGGACTTTTGGCAATTTTGAATGTCATAGAAAAGACAATAGATTAAGGACTAATAGAGGGACACAGTTTAGTATACAAGATCAATTTCGCTTTGACAAAGCCATTGTGAATTGATTATGGAGCAAGGACCAATATTAAATTGGCATTTGTAATCTGTTAAAAAGGGTAAAAGAGGCAGAGGCAGGCAAATTTCTTCAGTTTGAGGTCACCCTGATCTACAGAGTGAGTTCTAAGTCAGCTAGGGATTGCTACACAAAGAAAACCTGTCTGAGAGGGGAAGAAGGAGGGAGGAGGTGGTGGAGAGGGAGAGTAAGAAAATGAGGGCAAGGGGAGCAATAAAAGGAGGGGTGGGGAACAGAAGCAACAGCAAGTCATAGAGTCTGGGCGATGAAAATCATACCCAAGTGGATGACATTGGAGTTTGCTACTATGTTGGGCATAAAGGTTCCAGAGATTGGAGGGCTCCATTGATTACTGTCTCCCCCACCCCCCAAGACATGAGTTATTTTCATGATTATAGCTTTATAATAGCCAAAATCCATTAATTGCTTAATTGTATATTTAAGATTGAGAAACAGCAAGGTTGAATTAGTATATTAATGTATATTAATGCCTCTGATTTGGTTTATTTTCTGCCTAAAGTGCAGTCACTCTAACAAAGCCTCCCTTTTGTTCAGATATGTGTGAATAATAACTGATAACAATTTGCTTTTAGAATCTTAGTGAATATTGAAGTCACAAAAAGTCATGATAATGTTGGAATTTAGAAATTCCAAATGCAGAAAAAGAATTTCTCTGAAAGTAGGTAGAGGGTAATGTTATTTTAAATTCTTTCAGATTTTTAGTTCTGTAATAATTTCCATATGTGAGTCCATGAATTCTTCAAATTTGGAATGATATGACTATTTATTTGTATTTTTTATACACTAATAATTAGAAATTGACCATGTTACTTTTCCTAACTAGTTTGCTATGCTAATGCATTGTTAAATTGCATGGAACCTGTTCCCAACTAATTTTGTCATGTTTGCAAGTAACTTTAGTCTGTAAAAATGTTGCTGTGAAGTAAAAGAATGGATAAAATTGTATACCTGGTTCCAGATTAACACTATTACTTTATGATAAAGCATGAACAGATTTTAGACCTTGTCTGTAACCTGTAAAATACTGGTTCTTTTGTCACTTACACCTTTGAGAGTATTTAACCCAGTTCTTTAATGGAAGTAGGAGTTCAGAAGTAAGAACACTAAAAGATGGCGGGGGAGGGGGGAAGAGATTGAGATTGTCAGAATTTTCTGGTTCCCTTCTTATTAGCTGTCAAGAAAATTTGGTTGGTCATGCAGTTAATACCTCCTCTCTGTAAACTGTGTTTACTTGTAGGTTAGGTTCTTGGTTTGCATTAATTGTAAAAATAATGTATTATTTGAATATGGCAACTGGCCAATTCGTCATAACTTTGTGGGCGTATCTTATCTGTGTATACTTTTACCAGCCATATATAGAATGCCATCTTTATCACGGAATTTTGTCTTTTTTAGTTTCACTCAATGTACAAAAATACTTTTCTGTTTTTGCTTTTTTTGTTGCATTTCTCTCCTTTATTTTGGTTTATAGTTTGTGGGAGATGTTCCCTCATGGCAGTAGGAGTTGGAGACAGGCTGATAATAGTCCATGGGCAGACAGGAAGCAGAGAGTGAAGTAGAATTCTGCTTTGAAATCTAAAGTGGGTTTTGTCCTCTCCATCCTCTAAGGTTCCACAACCTTCCAAACAGTGCCACCAACTGGTGATTTAAGTGACCAAACACATTAACGCTCAACATTCCACTTAACCCTGCACAAGCCTTAGCCATTTATGTTCATAATGCAAAATGCATTTGTTTTCACTTTGCAGAGTTCCCACAATCTTTAACAGGCCCAACACTATTCAGAAACTCACTGTCTCTTCTGAGACTCTAGGCAGTCTCCCTTTAAAATAATCAAGCTTAATATTTCAGTATGTAATAGCACAGAGAAGCATTGGAGATATTAGGCCTACCAGCCAAAAATCAGACCAAAGCCAGCTCCAAACCACAAGGACAATCCCACAACTCTTGTGTTCAGCATCTGGGACTTAGGGCACATCTGGACTCTAAAGGGAGTAGTAGGTAGTTGCTCCAGCTTCCCCCCATTCCTTTTAGTTCTTTATATTTCTAAGAGTAGCTTTTTGTAACCTTACTTACTTTTCCACATAAGAATATCCTTATTTGTGTTGTTTCATATAGCTCTTTGTTCATGGATTTTTTTTTCTGATGACACATAAAGTAAAAATTTTTGTGATTGATGAGAATTTTGATGATGATTATCATTCATGTATATATATTAAATAAACACTATAAATAACCTTGCACTGTATAGTTATGATTTTTGGAATAGTTACTCTGTAAACTTTCCTTTTTTTCTTTTTGCACTTAACTACATTATGAAGGGCCTAGGAAACTTAAATTTTCACACTTAACAATTCTTAAGTAGAAGAAACAGAATTAAAATGTTAACATCAAATAGAGTGTGGTATACAGAATTTTATACCTTGTTAAAGTGAGTCACATTTTAACTTGGTTTTCTTGGTGTTTTATTGCTACTTTGGCTGTTACCATTATTGGAGAAATAGGTGTAGTTCATGAATTCTTTCAGAAGAGTATGCTTTTTCTTTTTTTAAGCAGAAGAAAAGAGACTAACAGTGGTTAATTTCATGCATATATCAAAAGCTTGGAAATAACTCCAAGTATTCTTAACCATTTAAACTCCTAGAAATACGTTGGTGTGCTGCTGGTTTTAAAGTTAAATTTAGATGTAATAAGTGTATTTGTATTTATTTCAGTCATCACTGAATTTTGAGAAGCATTCTGAAAATTTTTCATGGACAGAAAATCGTTACGATGTGAGTCGTCGACGACATAACTCTTCAGATGGCTTTGATTCTGGTATTGGACGTTCTAACGGAGGTAACATTTGCTAAGGAACGGTAGAATTTGTGATAGTTTTTTAAATGATCTTTTAGGCTGTTTTGATTGCTATTCAGTCACTAAGTATAACTATCTTTGAATTTATATTACTTTACTGTTATCAAATAAAGGTAATTTTGGGAGGAAAGAAAAAAATGGATGGCGTACGCATGGCAGAAATGGTACAGAAAACATAAATCATCGAGGGGGATACCATGGTGGAAATTCCCGTTCTCGTAGCAGTATTTTCCATTCTGGAAAAAGCCAAGGACTACATGAAAACAACATCCCTGACAATGAAACTGGGAGGAAAGAAGACAAAAGAGAACGCAGACAGTTTGAGGCTGAGGATTTTGTAAGTTTCTCATCATTTTAATACAAACGATGTTTGTGCAAGTGCCATTTCAGCATCAGGGTACTTCTAGGTTTTTGTTGTTGTTGTTTTTATATTAGTGCAGGTAATTTTCATTTGATCTTTATTTTTTATTTTTGTTTTTGTTTTTTCGAGACAAGGTTTCTCTGTGGCTTTGGAACCTATCCTGGAACTAGCTCTTGTAGACCAGGCTGGCCTCCAACTCACAGAGATCCACTTGCCTCGGCCTCCCAAGTGCTGGGATTAAAGGTGTGTACCACTTACAGGTAATTTTCTGTAGGATCATCCTAACAGGTGCTTGTCCAGTTGTGGGTGTTTTATATTGAGTCAGGGTTTCGTACTTCAGCCCAGGCTAAGTTGAGCTACTTTATTTTAAAGTTGTCTACTCTATTTTAAAACTCGTATTTTGTATGGAATCACATCTTTTTTAAAATTACCTTTTAGTTTTGTTTGTGTGCTTTTATGTGTGTTGGTGTAGGTCACAGTGTGTTGTGGAGGTTAAGATATGTTGGCTTTTTGTTTTATTGAGACTGGGTCTCATTTTGTAGCCCTGGAACTTATTATGTTGACCAGGGTGCCAGTTTCAGAGAATTAAAAGAGGCAAGACTCATTCTGAATTTGGACATTGTGGGCTTGGGGTTCAAATGGAATAAAAGGAGTTACTCCCTTTTTTTTTTGTTTCCTGCTTCCATGATTTTTTTTTTCTGCTTCCATGATCTTAATTTCACTTTTGTACAGTGACTTTCTTACTCTAGTGAGCTAGGCTTTCTGAAAACATGCACTAAAATAAACATTTCCTCCTCTATGCTAATTTTCTAGGATATTTAGTTATGGCTACTAATATAATAAAAAAGGCAAATATAATACCTTGACTGGAATTAATGAAAGAATGTATACAGTGTGCTAAACATTGTTCTTACTAATGTTTTGAGATATGGTTTCACCATCTAACTCTTAACTGCCCTAGAATTCACAGAATAGACCAGACTGGCCTTGAACTCACTGCCTGTCTGTACCTACTTTCCACGTGCAGACATTAAAAGCATAAGTTACCTCCAGAGAATAGCTTTAGGGAGTTGGTTCTTTTTCTATAATATGTGTCCAGGTAATAGAACTCAGGTTTTTGAGTTTGAACTCAGGCACCTTTGCCTTCTGAGCCGTCTCCTTTTGCCACTTTAAAGGGATATTTTTGGCGACGAGTTTTGTCCATAAAACAATTCCCTTCCTCCTCCGTTCCCATCCTTTTCAGAATCTTTTGGCATATTTATGTGGTTTTCATTCCTTAAGAAAATTGAATACTTTCCCTTAGAACTAGTAGCCTTGTGAGTTCAGTGGCTTATTTACAAGTGCCTCATAATCTCTCGTTTTCTCATGTGTGCACACACACAGAGACACACAGACACAAAGTCTTGAAAAGGTATTTTGCTAAGATGGGGTTTTACTATGCTGCCTAGACTTGTCTGGAACTTAGGGCTCATGTTATTCTCCTGAGTTAATGAAAACGAGATTTCATTTATTTTCTTGCTCCTTAATCTCGGTATGTGTCTTTAAACACTAAAACATTAAAGAAAAATGACCCAGTAACATTCTTACTTTGGGTTTTGTTATTGTGTTGTTTTGAGTTAAGGTTTGTGTAGCCTAGGCTGGCCCCACACTTACTATGTAGCTGAGGATAACTTTGTCTTCATTTCCCAAGTGTGCTTGGCTCTGATTCATTCCTGACAATTGAAAATTCATATGTTGTGTAAGTAGGGAATCAGCACTTTTCTTTTTATATATTATTACTACTATTACTTAGTATGTATTTGAGTTGCTGTATTTAGTCTTATTGCTGTTCATGGCATGCAGAATATATAGTTTAACATGACAGGCAGAATCTGTGTTCTCATTGAGCTATTCCTAGTGGGAAGACAATATCAAATGAAAAAAAAAACGTATTTTGCAGAGAATTTGAATAGGAAGTGACTGAGTAGTTACTTAGGTTAGGGAAGTCTAGAGAAGTTTCTTTGTAACATTGAATCTGGGACTTAATTGATCAGAAGGAACAAGCATTACCAGCACCTAAAAACTGGGAGTGGGTGTAGCTCAGGGCTGGAACATGTGCTTTGTATGTTTAAGCCCCTGGGTGGGATTCCCAGCACCACAAACACTAAGACAATCTGGGAGGAAGAAAGGATTAATTTAGTGTAAAACATTTTAGTTCTTAAATTATTCCAGTGGAAGACTAGTGACAAAAAGTAATGCTTTGTTTGAGTACTTTAATAACCAAAGACAAAGTATTTGGACATTTTTGGTCGCATTTCCCATAGCTCAAGGGAAAGAATTTGATGGATTGGGTTTAGGGCAAGGGAGTGGTTAGGGAAAATGAAGAGGAAATGATTTGTTTTAGGTGTTCATATCAAGCAACATTGATTATTGCTGCATCTTAACCATTTGAATGGTTTATTTTTTCCACTTGATGATCACCAGGTAATTTAACTTACATCATCAAACTGGGATAATAATGTACTCTCATGGTGCATTAAACAGTGTAGTGAGGGGCTGGAGAGACAGCTCAGTAGTTAAGAGCACTGACTGCTCTTCTAGAGGACTCGGGTTCAATTCCCGGAACCCACATGTCATCTCACAACTCTCTGTAACACCAAGATTTGGAATATATGCAAGCAAAATACCAGTGCACATAAAAATAAAAATGATTAGAAAATGGTACTCTAGTGAATTAAACACATCACATATTATAAGCTCCTTTAAAATTTATTTCTTAATTTAGTATTAAAATTATATCATTTTCCCCTTCTCATCCTCCCATGTAAACCACCTTCTCTTTTTTTAAAATTCATGGCTGTTTTGTTATTCATGTATGGGGGGGGGAGAGGAGGTTCACTAGTATATAAATACATCCTGTACCATTAGTTTATCCAGTACTAAATGGCTAGCTCTGAACATACATACATACATACATACATACATACATACATACATACCGCTCTTAATAAGATTAATGGCTGACAGGCATGGTGGCAGAGACAGACTGATTTCTGAGTTTGTGGCTAGCCAGGAATGCAGAGTGAGACAGTGTTTCACGCCCCGCCCCCTCCCCCCCAACCCACGCTACCCTAATTGCTGCTATTTTATTATCTCTCACTTAGAGTTCTAGGATAGTGGTTATCAGTTATTGTAACTTTAGGTCTGGAGTATAGACATAATTTATAGTTAATATATGAACTATACAGATTATAGTTGTGTATTTAATATTTGCATGTAATTAAGAAAAGATATCTAGCCATTAAATAAGCTTATTTCTCTTTCTTTTGTTGTTTTCTGTGAAGGAATTAGGTGTACGGGTTTGCATATATATTATGGGGTTCCATGCCAATAATAATTCATTTCTGTGCTTAATTATAAGTATTTGTACTTGGATTCATTTTGTTCATTATAAATGTTAAGTGTCTTCTGTAAGGAAATCAGGCTGTGTTACCAGGTAATATGAAAAATAACCTGGTATACTGTAAAGTTACTCTAAAGAAACTGTAAGTCGGGCTGGAGAGATGGCTCAGAGGTTAAGAGCATTGCCTGCTCTTCCAAAGGTCCTGAGTTCAATTCCCAGCAACCACATGGTAGCTCACAACCATCTGTGATGAGGTCTGGTGCCCTCTTCTGGCCTGCAGGCATACACACAGACAAAATATTGTATACATAATAAATAAATATTTGAAAAAAATACTTTAAAAAAAAAAGAAACTGTAAGTCTTAGGATTCTAGAGTAAACATCTACCAAGGTTAGCTTTAGAGTATCATTAATGCTCTTAATTCTTTTGAATAATCTTTAGCACCCTTTGAAATAAATTTCATACTTTGCTTTGGTAATGTGTGTTTGCCTTGTTTCTTTTTTGACATGCAAGTTACAGAAAAAGTAGCATACAGTTGTTGTATTTAGTTCCTTTTGTTGTCTCTTTGAGACAGGCTATCATGTAGCCCAGGCTATCCTCAGTCTCATTATATATTCGGGATGACATTGTGAATTTTCTTGCCTCATCCTCCCATTGATAAAAACACCTAATAGAATTGGTGAAGAGTATAATTTTCATCTCTTTTGTCATAATTGTATATTGCAGAAAGCATTATACTTCTGACTGGGGTTTTTCATTTGCTGCTGTCTTGCTCGACTTTGAACTAAAGCCGGTGTTCCCTATCCTTTCTAAGAAGCAGCTACTCTAGGGGCTCTGTTTTTTTTGTCTTTTGGTAGATAGTGTTTTTTATTTAACTAGGCCTGGCATGTATTAGACCAGCACTTTACCAGTATGCTACATTTCTATCCTGTGTCTTTGTTGTTCACTTTATTCTAGGTGCTCTCCTAATAGTTAGGTGAAGGTAAAGATTCTCTTTGTCTTCAACTAGCAGTGAGAATAAACAGACATTTTGATGGTTAGTAGAGAAAATTGAAAGAAAGTTTATGGAGAATTAGTTATTATAACTAAAGCCGATCATATATGTTATAAGATGTGTAACCATGTGTTTTCTTTAAAGGATCACACTTATATGCCTTGGTACATTTTTAAATTTAATTTTCTTTCAGCCATCTTTAAATCCTGAATATGAGAGAGAACCAAATCAGAATAAATCTTTAGCTGCGGGTGTATGGGGTAAGTACCTATTTTATTTTATTTTTTTTTGAGGTACTGAATATATTGTATTTGTAGGTTACCTCTTTACAAAAAGTATAAAATAGGGTACAGTAAAACTAATAATAATTACATTTAATTTGCTAAGTTGCTGAAGTAGTAATACCTTTAAAAGGAAGGAATTTGGGGTATAAATTTGAATTGAAATACTTAATTTGCACATGCTAGTGTCATTAAGTATGCTTTTTAAGAATGATTCTAGGTTAATGTAGTTTTGAGAGCAGCCTTGATAATCTCAAATAACTCAGTACATAGTTTAAATTTTTAGTTTTTTATAATTGAACTTTAACTGGGAAAATAAGTTTCTAGTAACATGAAGTTAATCTTTTTTATGTATGAAAATGGTTTTGTGTAGACTTAAACTAAATTGTATAGATTTTCCTTTGATTAGTCTATATTAGAAATTATTTGATATGATTTTTAAAGCTTAATGAGAGTTTCTGGTAAATAACTCCCTTTAAAACTGCTGAATTTAATTTGATAATATCTTACAGAAGAAATTGCACTCATAGTAAAAATTAGAAAGTTTTAAAAGATTTAAGTGAAGTTTAAAATAATGGAAATTTTATAAGATTTCTGAAAAATAAACTTGAATTTGATACCAAATTAAAAGTGCTATCCATTTTAAAACTTGTACACATGTTCAGTTGTAATTTTTTAATTGAAAACCAACAGCCTACTAAACAAGGATTGTGGCTTATGATTGCATGCTAGTCCTAATGATAATGGCATTATTTTAAACTTTGCCACTTCCTGTGCTAGTCTTAATTGTATTTATGGGTTAAAACTGGAAAATTATTTTGCTTTCTTTTGATCTCCCTTTTTATTTAATGGCTTTTGAGGGTGGGGGAGGGGGTGGTCAGACATTTTTGTTAGAACCATGTGAATGGCATTGTTTTTTCTGTATTGCAAATTAGTATTTCTACCACTCTCCCCAGGCCTACACGCCCAGACACACACATACCCAACCAAAAAAATCTCCCAAGCTCCTCTCTTAGGTATGTTTCCTTATTATTCAGTTTTTCTGGGAACAACTGATTGCATAAGAATATAGAATCTCCTGAAAAGTGTTAAATAGAATTTCTAAGAAATTAGGAATAATTTGGATTTTAGTGGAATGAAAGTAAATTTTTAAAAGTCAAGAATATCAGCATTTGTCATATAAACTATAAGATACTAATGTGGTACTGTCCTTGATTGACTTATTCTTAGTAATGATTTAAAGACAAAGACAGTTTTGAAAACTAGGCTAAAATGTATTAGCATAAAGATTTTGGTTCTGCTGTTTCAGAGTTGATTTAAGGATTTTGAATACTAGTGGAAAAGATGTAAAATGGGAGGTAAACTCTTTGATTTGTTTAGGTAAACTAAGATGTGTCTGCATTAAAACAAAAGGTTAATTGTGGAATGGCTAATTATTAAATTTCTAGTACTTCTTGTAGGAATACAATGAAACGCTTCATTGTATCACACTGCACACTATTCCTTTCTCATTTTACACCCTGGGTTCCCAAGTATGCTTTTCCTCATAGCAACATTTAGAATAGCTATGTTCCTGAGGAAGATGAGAGGATTTTAGCAAAGACGCAATAGAACTTTTCTAGTGATACTTGCAGGTAAGCAAAAATTTACTAACAAAACTTCAGTATACATAAAAAGAAAAAAAGATTTGTTTCCCAAACTATGTTTGACTTTGTCAATCATACTTGGGGCCTATTCTTAACATAATACACCTATTAAAAAAAGACTTGAGGGAAATTAATTAAGCCATTTAAAATAAAGTTATTACTTAAGTTTATTTTTATTTGGGATTTAGCTGGCCTTATTGGGAACACCTTCATCCAAGCTTTCTATACCCAGAACTTCCATACTTTTTTTTTGTCTTAACCAGTTTACAGCTATTTGGTAGAAAAGATTAATAACTATTAAGTAATCTCTGTGTTCTTAATTACATAATGCCAAAATAGCAATTCAGGATACTTGGCAGTGTGTTACTAAGAATTTTTAAATTATTGTGTTACTTTTTCTATTTGGAGGTTGAGGAACAAGGAAAAAGATGAGTGTTTATGTTTGTACCAGAAATCGAGGACACTATCAATACACTTGCGATGTTTCAGAAGTACTAATGGACTGTGCTTTGTGCATATCACCAGGACTGTTTTAACTGTCAGTCCTTAAGATAAGAAGTCATGCAATAATAATGTTTTACGTTATGTAGCCTCTCGTCAGCATTCATATTTGTGTGTATTTGATAAAATGAAGACCTTCTAGGTTTTGCTCATAGCTGATATATAGTACTTTTTAAGTATAAGATATATTATTATTAAAATATTTTTGTTTAGCATTCTAAACCTAAGCTTAGCCCCCCCCCCCCCTCCCGTTGTATTGTTAGCTAGTGAACTGTAACATAGCTAGCTTGGACCATACAGATTGAGAAATGTTGCACTAAACAGAGTATAATGTTTTGACAACCAGTGAAGTCTTTTTTTTTTTTTTTTTTTGAGAAACTGGATTAAGGGAGTATTAGCAATAGATCATTTTGCTTGAATATTGAAATACATTCCTTTACTATCTGTCTTGTGAGAAAACTGACCATTTTGCCATTGTAGGAAAGGGGAAGGCAACAGTTTTAATATTGAGTGGGAGAAATTAATGGAATATGCGTAGAGAGTTTGAGGAAAATAAATCTTCAGAAACATGACTTACTTTGGTGGGTATGATGGTATAGACTTATAATACCTGTTTGGAAGCACAAACAGAAAGAAGGGTAAAGTTTAAAAAGGAAAGACATTTCAGTTACTTACCATAGGAGTTGTTTATATTTGCAAAGCTTTGCCACCCATTCACCTTGAGGCAGGGTCTTAATGAGCTTGACTTCTGATCTTCCTGCCTGTGTTTGCCAAGCTCTGGAATTGCATGGCTTGTAAGATATCTTTAAGCCTGTTCTTTATATGACTGAAGCAGGAGATATAAAGGAAAGACACTGTGACTGTTGATAGTAATATAAAGTTAACAGTGTTAACTTGATTAAAACAACTGTAGATTAAAACAGATTGGTTAAAGAACATTCAAACAGCAAAAATCAGTGTCTTATGTTTTTTTTCAAATAATGTTTAGCAGATTGTTTTTCTCTGTAAAAATAAGTGTTACAATAGGAAATTGAGTAATTGAAAACTATAGTGAAAGACAGTGAAAAAAGAGATTGAATCAGTGAATTGAATTGTTCAGGCTCTCTAGTCAGGTCATCCTCAAATATTCAGTCTTCCTGTCTCATCTACCTGAGTTCTTTTTATTATCTTTAGCAATATTCTAATTTTTTTTTCTTGAAAAATTTAAGCCAGTTTTCATCCTACCAGTGACTTTGATTTAAGAAATTTAAAAACTGATTCTTGTGGGCTGGAGAGATGGCTCACCAGTTAAGAGTACTCACTGCCAGCCTCAGCCTCTTCCAAAGGACCTGAGTTCAGTTCCCAGTTGGTGGCTCACAACTATCTATAATGAGATCTGGTGCCCTTTTCTGGCCTGCAGGCATACATGGAGGCAGAATACTGTATATAATTTTTTTTTTCGGTAGGTAGAAGAAAGGGTGTACATGATAAGACAGCAATAAAAAGTTACTTTATTGTAAGATGAGTTATTTAGGATATTAGAAGGAAATAATATGAATTTTAAAACATTACCTTTATAGTTTTAGAATAGAATTCATTAACAGTTATTATTAACAAAGATCTGAGATACTTTTTGAATCTAAAAACTTACGTACTTACAAAGATGTAAAAGTTGAGAAATAGTCTAAAGAGATAAATAATAAAATAATATTAAATGAATATGTTAAGTGTACATATTAGTTTGTCACTCCTTCCATTACTTGCAGGGGTACTATTTGACACAGGGTCTTATTTTGTAGCCCAGGTTTGGCCCAAACATGGCCTGAGGCCAGACGAGAATATTGGGTTTTCTGCTTTGTCTTTCTCCACATTATTTGTTTGAAATGAACACCCGAACCTGGAGCAAGGCTGACAGTCAGTGGTCCTCCTATCTCTCTCTACTCCCTCAATGCTGGGATTACAGACACACATGGGGCCACAACAGCCTTTACATAGATAGGTGTTAGAGGTTTGAACTTTGGTCTTTATGGTTGCACAGTGAGCACTCTTGACTGACCCACTGAGCCACCTCTCCGATTCCTAAGAAAACTTCCTTTAAAAATTGTATTTGTTTATTATTTTGTGGTTGCTTGCTTAGAAATGGCAGTGGCATGTGTGTAGAGGTCAGAGGACAACTTGTGGAGGTCAACTTCTCTCTTTCTAACATGTTGATCCTTGGGGATCTAAGTCAGTTTTTTCAGGTGTGATAACATGTTCTTACCTGCTGAGCCATCACGCTGGCCTCAAGAAAATTTTAATTGGGCAACTTTTGTATATTTTATCCAGAATAGCTTTATAGGATATAGATATCTTTGCATGTTTCTCTTGTAATTTTTTCTTCTCTTACATGTTAATTTAAGTTCTAGGAAAAGCATACCTTTTGAGTTTTGTTACAGTATTGAAAATAGCTTATGCCCTTTGTATATATTTTGTATACTTTAAATATAAAAAATTATAATAATTATAAAACAATACTGTATCTTATAAATGAAAGGCAACTTCTATAAAGTTAAATAATAAGGTTAGAGCTACTTGGGAGTTAGTATTAGAGTTTGACAATCATGTACAAAATCCTATTCTTGCATCACGATACTTCAGATACTTAAAACATAACACTATATAGGCTTCTCTTCACTCTAATTCCCTATCATCTTTCTTCTGGTACGGTTGTCATCTCTTACTTTTGCTGCTTATTCTTCTGAGAGCGACATCTTAGGCTTCACCTTTCTTCTTTATAGGGCATTCCATCATTCTTTGCACTGAGGACCTCATTGAAGAAACATCCTGAATATTTCTTGCTTCAAGGAATCCAATTTTAGGAAAGGTGAAATTTGTAGTCAGAATCAACTTGAGGATCAAAGAAACAATTATTATATCTATGCTTTGTCTTCTCTGTCTTTTAGTATTCTTATCCTACACCCCCTTTTCCAGTTAGGGTCTTAGCATATAATGCATACTGATGTGCACCTTCTCAAATCCTAGGTTTTCAGGCATGCACCACAATATATACCTTGTTTCTACTTTTAAAATTCAGTGCCTACTGCATAAAAAAATTATATTTCTTCATGTCTTTAACCTGTGTCAAACCCATTTTCTTGCGATTTAAACACATAGAATAGGTTGTGAATTATATAATTTTGCCTGGAAAAAGTCTTTTCTCCTACCATATCTTGATATTTTCATTTAATTTCATTGCTTCTGAGAGTCCACAGGGCAGATTATTCTCAGCTGTTGTATTTCTCTCTGCACATTCTAAACCAAAACTTTTGCCTTCACATTTCCATCTAACAATGTGTATTGATCATTCCTTTACTACTACACAGTTTATTTGGTTTCCTTGCCCATTGCACTAACTGAATATAGAAGAATCTATGAGGGAAGGAAGATAAAGTTAATTGTTTAGCCATCCATATTGAACCAGAGGTCATCAGTCATACTGATTGAAATGTTCTTGTTTCAAAGCCTGATATCTGCAGTGATACCTTTTAAAAATAAGTTATGCCTCAGATTCCTTGGTGTTATTTAAAGGCTGAGATATTGTCTTATATTTAATTTTAGTTCCCCCCTCCAAAACACCGACTCCTAACCACTGGACTACCAAACACCCCATCCCCACCCACATTGTAAGATGAGATAATACTATGTTCCTAAAGCCATTTTGGTCCTCCTGGGCACAAACAATCTCCCATCTCCTTTTTTAAAAGTGCTGGACCTGTATGTAAGTCATGATAGTTTTCAAGAACCTTTTTATTAGGAGGAATCAAGCAGGGTCTCAGTTTTAGCACAAGCAGGCCTCATACTCATCTTTTTGCTAAGTGCTTGTTTTTTTAAAATTATTTCTATTATATTTTTACTAAAAATCATTGAAATAGTAGGATGTCTAGTGTTCTTCATTGTTCTCTATTTGAGGTCTTCATTCCCATTTTTGGTTTCTTTGACTTCATTGTGTAATATCAGTAAAACTACTTTTCTTGTGTGCTTGATGTTTTTTAAGCTATTAAATCTTTTTAGGTACCAAAACATGGGATATTTTCCTTAGTAATTGAACATATATTTAATTTTTAGTACAGTAACCCTCTTTTCATTTTGTTCTAAGTCGTCATTCTTTATCAGTCAGTATGGCAGTAGCAGGTAAATCAGTTTTATCTTTTGGAGAGTTTGATCTCTTCAGGTTTCCTAGGAGTACTTTCAGTTTTGTTAAGAGGATTCAGTAGGAAGTTGATAGTTTGGAGCCAGTGTACCAGCACAAACATTTACCCAGCTCATTAATTCATAAAGTATGCCATCTAATTTAAATGTAGATTTTTTTCAGAGATTTTGATATGAGTTGACTATTGTAAATCTAATTATGAAACTGATACTTTCAGAATTTTTTTTGTAAGGGTGACTGTTTAGTATCTCTTTGATTATATATACAAATTGATTAAATTCCAGGAAAAATGTTTCATGTTTTTAGCAAGTACATAGTCTTGAAAATATCTTCTTTTAGCAATTATTCTCTGAACTGACTTTAGAAAACTGACCTCACATAATACCTTAGGTTAATATTATATGGACTTTAAATATTGGAATGAATTGGTATTATGAATTATTTTTAGCTAATAGCTGATCAATTAGACATTTAGAAGTGTTGAGATTGTGGGTCCTCGCTCATTGATTAAAAATTTGTTAGTATAATGAAGGAATTGAAGAATAGGAAAGTTTGAATTTTAAGACTGGCTTAAGGGGAAATTAGAAATGAAAAAATTTTAAAGTTTTTAAAAAAATAATTGAAAATGTATAGATTTTTATTTTATTACATCTTTCAGCCTGCAGTAGTAGGCATTGCCCAAACTCTTATGTTTATTAAGACAATGTTTTAGCTTTATTTCTTAAGCTGGAATTTGACTTTACTCACTTAGATCATTTTACCCCAGACCAACTGAACTATATTTTAAAATCAGTTAGGGTTTTGTTGGGATCATTTTATTCTAAAATTTAAAATTTTATATAACACATATTTGTACTTTATTTATGCAGAATATCCCCCGAATCCTAAATCTAGAGCTCCAAGAATGCTGGTCATTAAGAAAGGTAATACAAAAGACTTACAGCTATCTGGATTCCCAGTAGCAGGAAACCTCCAATCACAGCCAGTTAAGAATGGAACTGGTCCGAGTGTTTATAAAGGCTTAGTCCCCAAACCTGCTGTTCCACCTTCAAAAGTAAGTCCTTGCATTTAAAACCAATTTGTTGTAGATGTTCCATTTGTGAAGTGGCACCCCACACTCAGTTACTCTCTGCACTTAGACCAGTTGCTGTTTTTTGTGTGACAGTCTCCCATCTGCTGTAAAAAGAAGCTACACACAGAGGTTTTTGTTTTTAGTTTCTTTGTATTTTGCTTAGTAGAGAATTAAATTTTTATAGTTTCTGCTCTGTTGGTTGGACTAGAGTTTATTTGCTTGGTATGTGTATAATACTGGTTTACTTGGTGCTCAGTTTTAAGTTTTTGAAAGGTTCATGAGTTTTATTATAAGACAAACCTCTCTTACAGAATTTTGAAAATAACTTATTTAGATGAAAAAATGTGTTGTTACTTTAAAAAATCACATGTTTTGTGTGTAGTTGTATGTGTACCTGTTAAAGTGCACAAGTAGACTCATGTTTGGAGGCAGGTGCCTTTATTCACTGAGCCATCTTTGTTACCATCATCATCGTTGTCATTGTTTTGTGGTTTTGAGACAGTCTATGAAACTCTGACTCACTTAGAGTCACTGTTGAGAGGAGCCTCCAATTTACAGAGATCTACTTGTTTCTGCCTCCAGAGTGCTGGGATTAAAGACATGTGCCAGCACACCTGGGTTCCTTTTATTATTTTTAAATCATGTGTTTAAGCATATCTGTGTGTGGTATGTGCGGGTGCCTAAAGAGGCCAGATGTTTTATCAGCAGTTGTGAGCTGAACAAGAGCTGCTGAGCCATTTCTTCATCCCCAGATTTAGATGTTTTTATTACATATTAAACCTCTATTTTATTTGTAGGAAAATATACAGAGAGCCACACCTATAATCCTAACGCTGAAAGGTCTGATAAGGAGAATAGTGAGTTCTAGGCCAGTTCCCGGGCTTTATAGATAAACGCTGTCTCTACAGAGCAGCAGCAGCAGCAGCAGCAGCAACAACAGCAAAACTAGTAATAAAAGCAAAAGTTATGAAAGTCAAAGTCCATGGAGAGGTGGTGAAAGTAGTGTAAAATTACTTAAGAGCTATATGCAATCATTGTTTTTTACTATGTTCACCTTTTCTGTTTTCATAAAGTTCTTTTTGGTAACTCGATTCTTTTGTTTTTGTTTAGCCTACACAATGGAAAAGTCAAACTAAAGAAAACAAAGTTGGGACTTCTTTTCCTCATGAATCTACATACGGTGTTGGCAACTTTAATACCTTTAAGTCAACAACCAAGAGTATTAGTCCATCAGCAAATTCAGTGAAAGAGGTATGCCACTGAACATTTCTTGAGGAATGTAAACCCCTCTCCCCCCATGGTTTCACTGTGTAACCCTGGCCATTCTGGAACTCGTGGACACCTCCCTTCCTCTGCTTCCCGAGTGTTGGGATTAAAGGTGTGTGTTACCACCACCTGGCTGAGGAATGTATTGTATTTAAAAGATGGGGTATTGCTCTGTGACCCAGGTTAGTCTGGAGCTCCTGTTCATAAATGAGTATTCTTCCCAACTTCCTGATGTAGGTTGTGCTGTGATGCCACTTGCTAAATCTTGATAAATTAACAATTTATTAAATGTATAGATTCATTAAAGATGAGATGCTTTAAATTTTTCAGTGAATTTAGTTCAGACACATGTTAAAATAATTGCGGTTTATTTGATGCTTGTGGGAGTTTCACTGTACTATTAAACCTTGGCTATGAATAGGATTTGTACAGTCTTGATTTGGGAGTGTGGACATTTTATTAGTAATAACAATAAATTAGAAAAGAGGAAAGAAAGTTATATGGGAGTATGTGGTAGCTCAAATAATTTCAATTTTTTGAAACTCAGAGTAGGGAGTTCCTGAACTAATCTAGGATCAAAGACATCTATTCTACTAAAATTTGCTTTAGGTCCCATATTAGAACATCAAAACCGTCTATAATTTTGCCCTCATCTGCAGAATTTTTTGAGTTAAGATATGACCAATTTTTCTAAGTGGTTTATTGTTCTTTAGTTAATTCTAGTATATACTTTATTGTCAAGCATTAAACTTGATGATTTATTTCTGTGGACTAAAAATTGCTATCGTATAGTTCTAACATTCACAATTTGTTTGTGTTTTACTGCCTAAAACATCAAGAGAAATGAAAAGTCAATATCATTTTCCCTTTCTCTTCCTCTCACACTAATCTCTGGGGAAATCCAATGCAGTGACAAATCCTATTTCCATAAATGATTATAAAGTCTTACTGGAGATGTTTCAGATCCCCAGCACTCTGTAGCATGGCCAGGAAAGTTGTTTTTTATGTGCTGTGTAAATAAGGCCAAGTTTTATATTTTAAGTTCTGTTGGTTATCTGACCTTCATTACCTCTGGAATAAGAAAGTTCTTGAGGTAAGCCATTTAATGGGCAAAGAAAAATATATATTGTTATAAGTTTATTATTAGTATACTTTAAAATCAATTTTACCTTATAAATAAGTGTAAGATAAAAAGCTGTGGTAATAGTGAACTTTATTTTGATATTGATTATCTAGTTACATATTGACCAGCATTTCTGAACTCCCCATTAGTGTAATCGTTCAAATTCCTCTTCGCCCGTTGACAAGCTTAATCAGCAGCCTCGCTTAACAAAACTGACACGAATGCGCAGTGATAAGAAGAGTGAATTTTTGAAAGCCTTGAAAAGGGACAGAGTAGAAGAGGAACATGAAGATGAAAGTCATGCTGGCTCAGAAAAGGTAATTGAAATCACAGTGATTCTTGATTTTTAAACTTCATGGGTAAATACTTAGAACCTTGATAAAGTCTAAAACTTTATCTTTGGTTTCCCTCCGCTAAGCCATGCCAGCAGGTTCTTGTCTTCTTCGGGTGAATATTTGAGGGTTTATATAACCAAGGCTGATCTTTAACTCTGCACTTGAGGTACCTTTGAACTTCTTAACTCTCTTGCTTCTACCTCATGAAAGCTGGTTATGTCACACTTGGTTTGGGCAGAAGTATTTGTGAGGGTGTAACACTGATGTTAAGAGTACAGGTCAGCTCTGTACATTGTCTCTGATGTTCTGTGTAATCACTGAATATTAGAAAGGAGCTCTGTTTTCTAGTTTGATTCAGTTTTGAGGAGCCCCAGCAGGAAATTGAAAAGGCAATAGTTGGATCAGAGCCTCTAATCCCATGGTTTCTTCCTGTGTGCATCTTTAACAGGCTACCTCCTTGATTCCCTTCCTATTGATGATCTCATGGTTTCTCTGTTATCTTCTTCAGACCTCTTGGTGGCAACAGCTTTATAGATACTTAACCAATCTGGCCTCCATCCTTTGGGCTCCTCTTAACCCACACAGTTGTAAATAAGTCCTTGATAAGCCTATTTTGAAATTGCAGTTTTAAAAAATATCATTTCTCTATAAAGTAAACTAGCCAGCTTTATTTTCCCCCTCAAATAATTTCTCATGTCCAGGTCGACATGGAATTTATAATCCTTTGCCTTAGACTCCCAGTCAGATTCTGAAATGACAAGTGTGCATGGCTATGCCTGGACACAGATTTATACTTTTTTTTTTTTTTTTAAATCCTTTGGCTGGGCACCATGGTACATGTCTATAATTCCAGTACTCTGTAGACTGGAGCAGGAGGTTTGATGCAAGAATGAGTCCAGCAGGGACTATATATATAGCAAGTACCAGCTGTATAATTACATACTTTTTTCCCTTCATCTTTATCTTTTTGGCCTTATATATTTTTGTAAAAAATGCCTTTGAAATTTAGTGATTAATAATTGAAATTAATGTATTTTTCATGAGAATCTAGATAGGTTCTGTTAATTGTCAGTAACTTCTTTAGAACTCACTCTTTATTTTTTAAACTCCCTAAAAAATCAGGATGACGACTCATTTAATTTGCACAACAGCAATAGTACTCATCAAGAAAGAGATATAAACAGAAACTTTGATGAAAACGAAATTCCACAAGAGAACGGCAATGCTTCAGTGATTTCTCAGCAGATCATTCGTTCTTCAACTTTCCCACAAACTGATGTTCTTTCCAGTTCACTTGAGGCAGAACACAGGTTAGTAATTATTTTTACTTTTTAACTGACATTATCCCTCTTCAAGATTTTTTTTTAAATCAAGTTAAGTGATTGATAGGCTGATGCTGTGTACTGGATCTAGGTTCTTACTTGTTCTATACATGTGCTATAGTCTGAACCCTTTGTTTTGTTTCCTTTCTCTATTTCTGTCTCCCCCCCTCTTCTTCCCCTCCACCTCTCTGTCTCTCTCACAACTTTGTCTTACTCAAGCCCTTAAAACATTCATTTCTCCTAAGCTTTACAAAGTTACATTTATATTTATTTTAGTTTAGTTTTAGATTTCAGGTTTAATTTAAGAATATGTGATATCATATGTGAAAAAAGATTTCATACCTTTAATATTGACTTGACTCTCGTTATAATTCATAAGAACATATACCCTTATAGTGGATGCATTTATCAGTAATGAACAATAGTTTCTAAAAATTCTTTTGATCAACTGGAGAGTTAAGAATATTGGTTCCCTTTTCCATTCTCTTTTAGTGTTGTTGATTGAACATAGGCCATTACAAATGTTTGTCAGTTCTTATAAATAGGAAAAATGGTCATAGCAAACACAGCCAATTCTATTAGTCTTAGTTTATAACATTTGAATTAGGTGATATTGAATGATTGAAGTAGAAATCCCATTTCTAAGGGCAGCCATCTACCTTGTAATCAAGACTGTATCAGAAAAGCCAGTGAATAGGCATCAGAGAAATAATGCCGACTCGATTTTATTGGTCTTGAGGCAACAGTTGAGCGTGTAACATCCTAATTCTGGTGGCAGAATACCGAAATTCTTTTTTTTTTTTTTGCTGTAGAGTAAGCAAATTGTTTTACTTAAATGACCCTAATTCTTCCTCTGTAAAATATAAATAGCATGTTAGATACTATTTAAATCTCTTGAGTACTAATATATCCTTTGAGACTTTGAAAAAATTTTTCTGAAATCAATGATACAAGTTGAAAGATGTGCAAATAGAAATAACAGAAATATTTAAGGAGTACAATTTCAAACCCGTTTATTACAAAATAAGTGGCCTTAGCCGGGCGATGGTGGCGCACACCTTTAATTCCAGCACTCGGGAGGTAGAGGCAGGCGGATCTCTGTGAGTTCGAGACCAGCCTGGTCTACAGAGCTAGTTCTAGGACAGGCTCCAAAACCACAGAGAAACCCTGTCTCGAAAAAAAAAAAAACCCAACAACAAAACAAAAACAAAAACACAGAAACTTAAAAGTTACTACTTTTTATGTGCTTGTCCAACAAATCAAAATGGTTTCTCTGTAAATCTTTTCTTAGCTATGTTTTCCTAAAAATGGAAGTGTTTTTTAATTGGAAAGAGTAAACTGTTATTAATCATTTCTCATTATATAATTTTAGGTTGAGAACTCTGAAAAATCTTTTTCTGCTATTGTCGAACTATGCACTATGCCTCTTTTCAGATTGAATTGTGCACTGAGGATAGTAAATGCTACATATCCAAGACATTAGAAGAATAAATTGTAAATTTTAAGATAGGAAGCTTCTGCAGCCTTTCCTTTCCAAATACAGCTAACGAGCAGTTAAAACTATGTTGGATTGTGGTATTGAAGAAAAAGCAAAAGTGACATTATTACTACAAGGATTTGCCAGTTTTTATTTTTGACTCTCCTATTGCAAGTTTCCAGCATAGAGAACTTTGACCCTGAAGATAAAGTAATCAGGCTGTAACACAAATAATAAAATCCCAGAGACAGATAAAGGGTTAAAACTGAAGATCAGAGAAGCAGAGCAGTAAGCCACTAATGAGGGGGGAAGACCTTTTACCTCTACCAAATCTCAGACCAAAGGGCGATCCTCAGACTCCACACTCTTCCCCTTTATGTTCTTCTCTCCTCCCTGCCATATCACTCCTGTCCCCACCTCCTTAGTGCTGGTGTCAAAGGTGTGTGACTTCCCAAATACTGGGATTAGAGTTGCCTGCTACCACCTCTTGGATCTGTGTCTGATTCCATCTTGTGTAGCCCAGGGTAGTCTTGAACTCACAGAGGTCACCTCTGTCTCTAGAGTTTTGGGATTAAAGTTGTGTGCCTCGCCTCTAGTGGCTAAACTTTGCACTCTGACCTTAACAAATAAAATATCACCTCACCAGGCAGTTTATTTTTACTTATTATCAAATATATTCTACTTGGTTAATAACTCATTTTTAAGAAAATAAACTCATAAGTCCTTTTATATTTTAGGGACTATGTAATCAGACTGGATTATGTTTTCTTGTACAAAGTTTAAGTTGCATTACCCAGGTGAAGCTCTAAATTAAACTTACTTTCCTCCCTTTCAGATTATTAAAGGAGATGGGCTGGCAGGAAGACAGTGAAAATGATGAAACATGTGCTCCCTTAACTGAGGATGAAATGAGAGAATTCCAAGTTATTAGTGAACAGGTAAGGAAACCTAAACCTTTTAGATTCACTCTTAAAACAGCCCTTCCTTTAGTAGAACAGCCAAATTACAGGTAAACCCTGGTGATAGGGGAATTCTATTAGTTTTATTAGGAGTTTACTAACCATCATACCACAGGCCAGAATTCCCCTTCGGACAAGTCTGCAGTGACTATTGTGTGTAAAGTGTCTAGGTAAATAAAATGCTTATAATATTTTATTATCTAGATCTTTCATTTGGTTCTTGATTTGACATGGGTGACAAGTTTTAATTAACTTTGCCTTTGATCCTTTCCAACAAGAATAATTAATACTCTAAACCTTATTTTAGGTCTATATACATTCCTTTCTGAAAAAGTATTAGGAAAAATTTGATATAGAGCATCAAAAAGTTATTTTTCTAAATCTGTTACAGATATAAAAATATTAGTTAGGGTTAAAATGAATCTAGTATTTTCCTCATTGTATTTCTAAAATTTTCTTAAAAATTACCATGTATAATTTACTAATTTAACCCTCTATCCTACCTCCACATTCAGCACAGTGGCTTAAATGCATTCATATTGTTTGATAGCCTTTACCACTATCTGCCTTCATTTTTTTTTTTTTTTTATTCTGTGTGTATGTTTGTTCCTTTAGTCCTGAAACTACTCTTCGGCTTTCTGTTTGTATGAACATGGTGGTTTTCCACGCCTCATGTACATATAATCATATACTATTTGTCTTATTTCTTCTGGCATTATAACCTCAAGGTTTGTATATGTAGCACTTTTTGGGATAAGGCTGAGTAGTATTCCACTATTTGCATGTATTCGTATATTGTTGATCTGTTAGTAGACACTTGGATTGCTTTTTACCTTCTGGCTACTATGAATAATGCTGTATTATAATAAGTGTAGACATTCTTGATTTCAATGTGTGTGTCTACAGTAGAATTGCTACTGAAGGAAATGTTGGGACCAGGTGACGATAGCTCAGCAGTTCAATGCATTTAACACCAAACCTGGCAATCTGACTTTGATCCTGGAAATCCACATGATGCAGCACTGGAGATGACTCAGCAGTTAAGAGCACTGACTGTTTTTCCAGAGGACCTGGGTTCAATTCCCAGCATCCATATGGCAGCTAGAAACTGTAACTCCAGTTCCAGGGGATTTAGCACCCTTACACAGACTAACATGCAGGCAACATACCACATAAAAACAAATCTTGCACAAACTGAATAAATGTTTAAAAGAAAAAGTTTTTTATGTGGTTGAGCAAGTGTCCTTGTGGTATGACAGAACATCTTTTGGGTGTATGCCCCCCAATTCTTCCTCTGTAAAACATGAATAGCATGTTAGATACTATTCAGGGCTTGTGAGTATCTTTGAAACAAAGTATGAAATTGACAGCACCTTGATATGTAATAGATACAAGTTGAAAGGTGTGGAAATAGACAAATCAGAAGTATTTATGGAGTGCAACTTAAAAAAAAGTTTGTCACAAGTGGGTTTTTTTAATAAATTAATTTATTATGTATACACATGCCAGAAGAGGACACCAGATCTTATTATAGATGGTTGTGAGCCACCATGTGGTTGCTGGGAATTGAACTCAGGACTTCTGGAAGAACAGTCTCTTACCCTCTGAGTCATCTCTCCAGTCCAAGATAAGTGTTCTTAAAAGAAACAGAAACTTTAAGTTACTGCTTCAGGTGCAGTATACTTGCCCAACAAATGAAAATGGTTATTTCTCTGGCAGTATTTTTTTTTTAGCTGTCTTAAAATGAAAGTATTTTCATTAAAATAAAATTGAAGAGTAAACTGTTATTCATCATTTTTCATATAGGTAGATGATTCCCCATTTTTCTGAGAAATCGCCATAATGATTTTCAAAGTGGTTATACAAGTTTGCACTTCTACCAACAGTGGAAGAATTTTCCTCTTGTTCCTCTTGTTCCACTTCCAGGATAGCATGAGCTGTGTTTTTGATCTTAATATTCTGACAGGTGTAAGGTAGAGTCCATGTCGTTTTGATTTGTATTTCCCTGATGTCTAAGGTTGTTTAAAATTCCTTTTAAGTGTCGCTTGGCCATTTGAGATTTCTCTATTGAGAATTCTGTTTAGATCTTTACCCCATTTTAAAAATTGGATTATTATTTTTTAGATATCAAATTTCTTGAGTTTTTTTACACTTTTTAGAAATTAGTCCTCTGTCAGATGTAGGGTTGGTGAAGATCTTTTCCCATTTTGTAGACTGATGTTTTGTCCTATCAATGGTGTTCTTTGCCTTGTAGAAGCTTTTCATGAGGTCCCATTTATTAATTGTTGATCTTAGTGCTGTGGTATTGTTGTTCGGTTCAGGAAGTGGTCTCCTATCCCAATACATTCAAAACTATTTTTCACTTTGTTTATCAGGTTTAGTGCATCTTGGTTTATGCTGAGAAGAATCTACTTGTACTTGAGCTTTGTGCAGGGTGATAGATGTGGGTCTGTTTGCATTCTTCTACATGCAGGTATAAGGTATCCAGTTAGACCAGCACTTTTTGTTGAAGATGTTTTCTTTTTTCTTTAAGACCCCATTACTTCTATTGGATTGCCTTGTCTAGCCTTAATACTGTAATTCAAAATGCCATGTTTGGTTGATATCCATGGGAACCCATGGGAACCCTGCCCTCTTCTGTAGAAGTGAAGGAGGAGTGGATGTATGGGTGGTGGGCAGGGAGGTGGTGAGCGGGAGGGACTGGGAGAAGGGGGGGAGGAAGCTGTGATTAGGATATTAAAAATAATAATAAATCATTTTGAGACAACAAAAAACTGAAAACAAAGTTTCTTTTTCTTTTTTTTTTTTTTTTTCCTTTTCTGGTTTGTCAAGACAGAGTTTTAATCTGGTCTGTGGGGATGCACACCTTTAATCCCAGCACTTGGGAGGCAGAGGTAGACAGATCTCGGTGAATTTGAGGCCAGTCTGGTCTACAGAGTGATCCAGGACAGGCTCCAAAGATATACAGAGAAATCCTGTCTCGAAAAACAAACAAACAAAACCCCCTACAAAGTTGTAGGGGTGGTGAAACGACTCTGTGGTTAAAGCCTGACGACCTGAGTTGGATTCTCAGGCCCACAGGGTAGAATAGAACTGAATCTATGTATTGTCCTCTATCGCATGTTTCCCCCACATACTCTATGATGAATATAGGTAGGGGCTGGAGACACAGTTCAGTGTTAAGAGCTTCTAGCAGAAGACCCATGTTCAGTTCCTAATACTCACATTGGCCACCCAGCAATTGGATCCCGTTGCTTCTTTTGGCCTTGGTACTAGGCATGTACACAGTGCATAAACATACATGAAGGTACTCACACGTGCACATATGAAAATAAGTCTTGTATAAATGTAATAAAAAGAAAGTTTTAGCAAGACCCTCATGTTTTCATGGAACGTGCCATTTTACATTTTCTACCAACTGTGTACATAAAAGAAGAGCTCCAGTTTCTCTACATCACTGCTGATACTCATTATATTTCTATGACTTATCTCTTTACAGTATATAGTATAAGTGGATAATTCAGTGGTTTTGATTTGCATTTCTCTGATTAGTATCTTAGTTATTTTTCTATTGCTGTGATAAGACACCATGACCAAGAGCATTCATAGAAGGGAGCGTTTCAGGGAGTTAGAGTCCATGGTGGTGGGGAATGTCTGCATCAAAACTGTTGAGCTTAAATCCTAAAATAGGAGGCCGGAAGAGGGTGGGGGAGGAGAGGAATAGAGAAAGAACTGGGAATGGTATAGGCTTTTTTGAGCATATGGGTATTATTCAGTCCACCGCAGTTAAGTTTGATCATCTTTTTATAGGCTTATTAGCTATTTGTATAACTTCTTTGGGGGTAAATATCTGTTCAAATCCTCTGTGCTCACTCTTTTCACTTCATGCTGGAGATCATATCTATGGCCGACCCATGTTAATGCATGTATTATATCACTGAGACATCCCCCACTCCCTTTCATCTTTGTGTACACACACACACACCTTCTCTAATATGTTACTGCACATTACATGCCTACTGCAGTTTCTCCTCCCTCTACTCCTTTCAGTCCCTCTTCCCCAGATGAATTCTTCTCTGTGTGTGTGTGTGTGTGTGTGTGGGGGAGAGAGAGAGAGAGAGAGAGAGAGAGAGAGAGAGAGAGAGAGAGAGAGAGAGAGAGAGANGAGAGAGAGAGAGAGAGAGAGAGAGAGAGAGAGAGAGAGAGAGAGAGAGAGAGAGAGAGAGGACACAGAGGTAGGCCTCCCACTAAACATGGCCTAACAAACCATAAGACTGGGCACCTCATTACAGCTGGACGAGGCAACCCAGTTGGAGGAAAAGTGTCCCACATAAAGGTAAAAGAATCAGTATAACAACTATAATGTATATACAATCCTTCCTCTTCTGCAAGTCTCGCCTGGCTCTACCTTATGTTTTTTGTGAATCTCTGCGTCTGACACCTCTTTGTTGTTGACAGTTGGGCTAGTATGAATATTGCAGAGTATCTAGGAATGATTTCAGTGACTTTTTTTTGTGCCAGTTGTGTGTGGTTCTTTTTTTTTTTTTTTCATTTTTTTAAGGTCGTATTTCTTTTTTTTTTTTCTTTCTTTTTTTTTATTGAGAATAAGAAAAGTGTGTGGTTCTTTCCTGGGTCTCTGGGCTGTTGTGCCTCTGGTTCCTGGTCATCTAGGCAGTGTCAGGCATAGGCTCCCTCTTGTGTACTGGGCTTGAAGTTGGAGTAGTCATGAGTTAACCACTCCCACCATTCTCCCAGCACTTCTTACAGGCAGGACAGATCGTAGGTTTAAGTAAGGTCTTCGTGTTCAGACCTTTCTGTCAATAATAGTGTGTAGTAAAGGTGAATATTAAATTACTTTTTTTTGGGCTAATGTGATCAGTACACAATAGGAAGAAACTTAAGGATAACTTGAATTTGATCCCCAGGACCATTTGGTTGAAAGTGAGGACCAAACCAGCTCCTGCAGGTTGTCTCTGACCTATGCATGCACACTCTTACTCTAAGTAATAAAAAATTTAAAATAAACAGATAAATAACATGATAACCAGTACCCAAACTAAGTGCGTACACACACACACACACACACACACACCCCTACACCTTTCTAGGCTTTCTATTTCTTTTGTTTGTGTCAGTTGAAGAGTCATTTTCTTTTAAGACAGTCTTGAGCACTGGCCACTCTTCCCTCTGTAGCCAGGTTCTTTGGATGTGCTGCTCTACCATACCTAGTTCATGCAGTGCTGGGGATTGCTAGGCATTGCTGGCTATCATACTCTACATCCCTGCACTGTTTTCATTACTGTATTTTTGTGGTAAGTTTTGAGAGTCAGGAAGTATGGCCTTCCAACTTTGTTCTACAAGATTGTTTTGTGGTTCCTTTTTATAACCATGTATATATTAATAGGGAATTTTCTTTTGTTTTTTTAAAGCCTTTATATTAATATGTATTAGTTTTGCAAACTAATGGTTTCATTGTGAGATTTTATACATATATGTAGTGAATTTGGTAATATTAGCATCTTAGCAGTATTAAATCTTCCAAAACATGAGCATGAAATGGATGTTTTTTCATTGGTGTGGGTTTGAAATGTTTCAGACCTTAAAATTTCTTGTGAACTTTATTCATTGTGTAAATGGAATTGTTTTCTTTCTTTGAGGGTGAAGGGTTTCAAGACAGGATTTGTCTGTGTAACAGCTATGGCTGTCCTGAAACTCACTCTGTAGACCAGAGTGGCCTCAAACTACCTACCTGCCTCTGCCTCTCTTGGAATCAAAGGCATGGGCCACCACAGTCCAGCAATGGCACTGTTTTCTAAACAATTCTTTTCGAGTTGTTTATTATCAGTGTTCATTGTCTTAGAAACAGCTGACCTTTCTTGTTGATTTTATATACTGTAACCTTTGTGTATATTCACAATATTTTTTGGTGACTTTAGGCAGGGGAAGCATTGGTGTTGGGATTTTTGTTTTCTTCAAATAGATAATTTTACTGTCCCTTCCTTCCCGATTAACTAATTTTTTTATTCAAAAGTTATTATTAATGAACTATTTTTTTAACATGATTGTAAAGTTGATGACCATATATAATAGTCTTTTGAAAGACTTACAATTTTTGTTGGGAACATGCATAGTTTATATATAGAATTTCTTTTTAAATGATTGAGTCTTTTTTTTTTCTCAGTTGTATAAGCTGTATATATTGGGAACAGTTCCACCTCCATCCAAATTTTTTCATTCGATCTTTATTCCCAATTCTGACCCCTAACATCCATTTACCAGTCTGCTTTCTGTCCTTAGGAATTGGCTTTTCTATAGTATATGCTACTAGGCAAGTCCTCTACCAGTGAGCTGTCCCCAGCTTGATTTATTTTGCGTGTAAAAAACGGTATCATTCAAAATGTACTGAGCATGATTGCTATGAGTAGAATTCTAAGGAAAACAATTTTATATTACTAATATGATTGACTTTAAAACCATGTGATGACTGAGGCATGTAGCTAAAACCTTATTGATAATAAAATACCTAACTGCCATAAAGGAATTATTTCTGTACACTGTGATTTGGAAACCAGTGACATACATAAAGCTGTAATTTCTGAACTAATGATAAAGGCATGGATATATTTATATCAAGTTGTTATAAAAAACATTTGATATTTAGGTACCAAAAAATCGTTAAAGATGGTATCTGAGTTTTCAGGGTAAGAAACCATGAAAACTTGATTATGATTATGATTATGATTATTATGGTATTAATTCTTGGGGCAAAATTAACTTCCTTTTTTTTTTTTTTTTTTTGACATTTTAGTTACAGAAGAATGGGCTGAGGAAAAATGGTATTTTGAAAAATGGCCTGATCTGTGACTTCAAGTTTGGACCCTGGAAAAACAGCACTTTCAAACCCACGCCTGAGAACGACGACACAGAGACAAGTAGCAGTGACACATCAGATGACGACGATGTGTGAAATTTAGTGTGATACATCTCTCATGCAGTTTGGGGTGAATTGTAAAAATGAAGAACTATAATTTATGTAGTGAACTACCCCATTAGAAGATGATTTTTTTGGGGGACTTCAATATGAAGAAAACCAAGAATGTTGTGTTGGGCTGTGTTGAACATTATTTCTTTGTAAATGAATGCTGTAGAAATGAGGACTTTGGTTGATCCAACATTGACTTTCTTCATCACTGCAGCATTTCTCTGACTAGCAATGTGACGATGTAACAAATGAGATTTTCTCATTTAATAATAAAAAATTGTGTAATGTTTTGCAAAGCTTCTGTCTTAAAATGTTCAGGTCTTAAGGTAAAAGGCAGCTTACAGTTTTGCTTGCAAAGTCATATCTTTTTTGAACAGTGGAAATCTTCAATTCTACTTTGTGCACCTCCTCACCCCACTTCCCCCTAAAACAAAACGAAACAACAAAAAGGAAAAATGTAGCATGTTGGCTAAAACTGGAGCAAAGTGCACTAAAACATTAACTTCTTGAACTGAAGTCTTGTACTAAGTCACCTTTCAAAACAAATTGCTCTTTAGTCCTTCATAGTGCAGTGGATGTGAGAGGAGACATGCCAGGTTTTCTTCCAAGTTTTTAGGAGGTGCTTGTCAAGAGCTTTATTTGGTGTATTGTCAGATCAGGATTTTCAGAGCTGATTGGAGGAGCTATGGGAAAACTTATTTTGATAAATTATTACACATGCAGAAAACCTGATCACACTGACTGGATCTGTCCACGACATGGAAAATAAACTGGATTTTCAGAATGTTGGTGTTCTCTGTAGTGTTCAAGGTATCGGTCTCCAAGTACAACATGCTATATTAATTTTTAAACTTTATTCTTTCCTTCATTAAAATGCAGTTCCTTTGAGGTTAGAAAAAGAAAGCTTAAATTTTTATCAAATTTGTAGTTATTGGATGAATGTTGACTTTTCATTTGCAAGGAAAATTAGAATAATTTGTTTTGATGGTGTATTAGACTATTTTGGTTTTGTATATTTGTAACCAGTTTTCAAGCTTTGTTTTACCCCCCAGTCGCTTTTATTGCTCTATCACATCCCTCTTCATATCAGTACATTCTATTTTAAAAAAATACTTTATTCAGTTTTGTGTATGTGTGTATGTCTGCATATGAGGAGGACAGGAGATGTCAGATCTGCTAGAGCAGAAGTCCAGGCAGTTGTAAGCTACCCGACATTGGGTCTGGATATTGGCTTGCGTCCTCTGTAAGAGCAGTATTGTGCTCTTAATCACTAAGCCATTCCTCCAGCCCCAGTATATTCTTACTATAAAGAGAATAGTAGCCTTAGACCAGAAGTATTAATGCCAGACTGGTCTGTTTTCTCATAAGGCTGCAATGTTTTATCTATTTCTATATCAGTCCCCAGCTTTCGCTAGAATCTAGGTTTTAAATTCTTGTTGTTTCCCCTCAAGATTGGGGTAATGGAAAAATTAAACCAAAAAACTCCCATTTTTTTTACCTCCATAAAATTTTGAGGCTAAGTATTAACAAATTATTAAATATGCTTTAAATATTTTTTTTTTTAAAATTTTGAACTTTGCCACAGATCAGTCTAAACGGGAGAAGTTAAATGTGTCAGCCACAAGAATACCTAAGGGGTAGTTTGACAAAGCTGGCAGTGTAGCGTTCAGTGTCTTTGAATTGCACTATTTGCATAATAGGGTAATGAAAAATTATTTGGGGGCATCTTTATATTTAGGCAGTTCTTTTGCCTTAATTCCAGTCTAGGTAGTATTTAGCTAATGTTTATTATACTTTAATAGAATTAGTATATAGAATACGGTGAGTTACAGTAATATAGTTCTACCCATTAAGTGATACCGTAAACACATTTGGTTTTTAAGGGATGGAGACACATACATGTTTAAAGATAACAGCTTTAACTAAAGAATGGGCACTTAATAAAAGTTTGGATCATATTAAAAGAAGAGTCTACAAATGCTGATTGGTTACATTGCATATCTAGTGTGCTCTCATGGTTGTTGGGGGTGGGCACAGTTTGAATACTTGAAACTCAATTAATTTTCTGCATAGCAAGTATTTAAACAAGTATTTTATTGAGGTATGCATTGCCACAACAGCATACAGTCACCCCAAACCAAGGGAGTGAGCAATAGTGCTCTGCCCCAAATTTCTTTGTGAACTCTGATTCCTCACTCCCACATGTCTTGTTTAAGTTGTAATTAGTGAGCAAAATCCTTATGGTAGTAATTTAAAGTAGCTTCTCAGATGTATGCTGTTTGAATTTAAAACGAGGATTTAGAATGAATATAATTTCCATAAATATATTAAATTCACCCCCAAACTAATTTTACTTGAAAGTAATACAGATCTTGCTTTAAGAAAGTTAATTGTCTTTTAGTTTAGTTTTCTAATTTCTCACTAAATTAAACTGCTTTTACAAAGTTTTGAAGAAATTATGGAACATCTGAAGAAATCCTTATGCTGGAAGCCATTTTTTAAGTTATAAACAGTCATTTGGCACTAAATTTTAAGTGAATGTTTATGTAATAGTCTAACAATAATATTAGTCAAAAGAATTAAAGTTCAAAGACCACCACCTCCCAGTGGCTTAAATTTTAACATAAAACTGGTGTCATAAACCAATCTGGTTATGTTTGGTTTGGTTGAGTTTGGTATATTTATGGACACTAAAAGTATCTGCAGTTGGAAACTGGACGCTTGACTTTTTGGAAGTTACAAATTCCTGAATTCATAATGGTAGCTGGGAAAAGCGATGGACGGAGGGCCTTTCAAGCAGCAGTAAAATCTGCAGAATAGCCAAGGATGCAGAGGCTTCGTTTCTGTTTCGTAGGTTTCCATAGGTGAGGCTCAATACTGGATTTAACCGTAGCAGTGGTTTCCAGGCATAGCTCTGATTGTTCTAACCTAGAATTCTTGTTCAGTACTTGGGTATGTGTAGTGTTCAGTACTTAGCCTAGTTTAGCAGTTTTTATAATTATTTATTGCATATAACATACACAAATATTGTGAAATTCAATATCTTTTATTGGACTATATTATACATAATTGGTTTTATGACACTTCATGAACATAAAGATTTTAGTCAGATTCCTTTGCCCCTCCTATTTTCCCCCCTAGTCTTGTTAGTCTTCCCACGTAACACTCCCACATCTATCGACTTTCATCTAGTTTTATTTTTATTTTTTTTTTTTTGGAATTTGTGTTGAATTTTGGGGTTTGGATGTGTTTTTTAGTGACCCAGTGAATTTGTTATTGTTTACTGAAGCTTTGTTTACTGTAGCCACCTTAACAGTGGCTGCTACAAACACTGAAGAAATGTCTCTTGCTCCCCTGTTAACCCTTAATTTAGAGTATGTGTGTACCTCAGGGAAGGGTAGGGGGGCCTTATGAGCCCCACCCTCTACCATTACTAGGTATTGATGGACCAATTCTTTGTGGCTCTTAAGTAGGTAACCACAGTGGCTGTGATCCACTGTGGGGTTGTGTTCTGTAGAAACATGGTAGGATACGCTGAAGCAGTAGGTCCATTAGGACACTGCTGTATGTTCTGTACATCAGGTCCCTGACTGCTATGATGTGTAAGAGTAGTTTAGTGGCTCTCACAATTGTCTGCATGTTGGTGGTGCACTGACTAGCTTAAAGTAACAGTTAATGGTTGTGTTACCTCTCTAAGAATATTAGATGGTTGTGGCCTAGGCTATTGATTTTAAGCACTTGCTAGGACTTCTAAATTATGGACACAAAAAGTGTCAGAAATTTGCCTAGTTCAAAGCTTTGCCCTTTAAGAGTTGTGACTTTAATCCACATACCTAACTCTAGACATGGATCTCGGTTCCCCCTGGGGTTATTGTAAGAATAAGAATCATTTCATACACTTGATTTGACTCCTAAGCCTAGTAAGCACTCATAAGTTCTAGCTGTTTGGAGATAGGGTTTCTCTTGTATCTCTGGCTGTCCTGGAACTCACTCTGTAGACCAGACTGGCCTTGAACTCAGAAATCCACCTGCCTCTGCCTCCAGGGTCCTGGGATTAAAGCCAAGCACCACTAAAGCTGTTCTGTATTTAAAGTTACCATTTGAACAGCCACTGTTGCAATGCTCTGAAAGCATCTGAGTTCTCAGTTAATATCACTGTTATTTTTACTTTGTTTGGCATGCTCAGTTACAAGTTGGCAGTTTGATTTTATTCAGCCTTTAAAAAGACTTACCCTTTGACAAATTGTGATCATTGGTAAAACGTGTGCATGCGTGTGTTTGTGTGAGTGTATGTGTGTGAAATAGTTGGAAGGGTAGACTTCCATACTTGTAGATACTTGAAAATGAAGCTTTCTGCTAGTCATACCACTTCAAACTTTGTCAAAATAAGTTTGGTTTGACCTGTCAACTCGTCGTTTTTGAAGGTTTATTGCTTTCTGGAATGCTAAAGGTAAAAGGATAATGGGCTGGAGAATACACTTGTAATGTATCTTATGCTTACCAGGTCTAGGCAACATGTATGTTTGGAGACAATTAGGTTGTAGGTGTCATCTCTTGAGACTTATTCTGTAATTTTTAAAAAACAAACATATTCTAGTGTGCTGTTTCTTGTGTGTGTGTGTGAAGTATGCATGCTTATATCGTGGGTGTCTGCAGGAGACTTTCAGATTCCCTGGAGCTTTAGCTGCTGGTGGTTGTGAGCTGCCTGTGGTGGTTGCTGGGAACCCAGCTCAAGTTCTCTGCAGGAACAGCAAGAACTCTTAACCGTAGTTACTCCTTCAGTCCCCAGGATTTTCAGATTTTTAAATGTTTACTTAATTATTTTCAGCACAGTAACTCAAAACTGGCTTTGAACCCATTCTGTAGGTTCCATGGCTACCTTTCTGCTCAGTATCTAAAGTGTTGAGATTACAGGCTGTATGTCACTGTGACCAGCCCCGTAACTCCATGTTAATAGTTTCTCCAGTGTCTAAAGAGAAGGGTAAACTCACCAGTGAGTAAGTAGAGAGTTCTTTTAATGAGTTAACATGGTGAGGTAAAAGGTATTTCTTTGGATTTAGTAGATTTCCTTAAGTCTGTGGATCTCTGTTGCAATGCATTCCACTGGCCATTGCGTCACCAAAGCAACTGTGTCAGTTCCAGTGCAGTGTAATTGTGGGCAGTGAGCTGCCGGCCCCTCCCTGTGTGTCAGTTCCAGTGCAGTGTAATTGTGGGTAGGGGGCTGCTGGCCCCTCCCTGTTGTAAATCTTACAATTTAGGACTCTAGAAACTTGAAAATGAAAGCTTGTGTGTGTTA